TTTTATATATATATAATATATATGTATATATGAGATCAAGTTGGTTTATTGTGTGGTTTCATTAATTCTTCAGTATCTTTGTTGAGTTTCTATGGTAGTTCTATCTTTTCTTGAGAGGGGAGTGCTGAAGTCTTCAACTACTATAGTGTTGTCTGTTTCTCTTTTCAGCTTTGTTAATGCTTGTTTTATACATTTTGCATCTCTATCATTGGGAAGGGTGTCCACCAGGGGTGTATTCTGTTTCCATACCTTTTCAGTCTGTATGCAGAACAGATCATCCTGGATGCTGGGCTGTATGAGGAAGAGTGTAACATCAGGATTGGAGGAAGATTCATCAACAACCTGTGTTATGCAGTTGACACAACCCTGCTTGCTGATACTGAGGAGGACCTGCAGAAGAAGGTCAAGGACTCCAGCCATCAAAATAGATTGAAGCTCAACATCAAGAAAACAAAGATTCTCACCACTGGGCCAATTGGCAACATCATAATGGATTGTGAAGAGACAGAGATAGTTAATAGTTTTAGTTTGCTTGGCTCCACAAGCAATACTCTTGGTAACAATAGCCAGGAAATCAAGAGCTGAATTAAATTGGGAATGTCCTGTCAGGGACCTCTCCAGAGTACTGATAAGCAATGACATCAGGCTGGAGACTAAGGTGCATCTGATCCAGGCCACAGTCTTCATAATTGCGTGCTATGCATCAGAGAGCTGGACAGTGATTAGGGATGACAGAAAGAGATTTGATGCCTTTGAGTTGTGGAGCTGGAGAAGAGCATTGAATATACCATGGACTACTAGGAGAACAAACTGGTTTGTCCTGGAGAGTGTAAAGCCCGGCTGCTCCTTGGAGGCCAGGATTCTGAACCTTCCTTCATCTGACATATTTTGGGCATGTTGGAATGAAGAACCAGTCCTTGGAGCTGACTGTTTGGGAGGGTGGAGGTTCAGCACAAGAGAAGAAGACTCTTGGTGCAATGGATCAATTCAGTGCTTGGGGTAATGGGAATTGGTGTGTCAGAGACGGTGAGGTTGGCACAGGACAGAGCAGGATTTAGGGTTCTTGTACATAGCGTCATTATGAGTCAC